TGCCATTTTATAGGACAAATTTATTCCATAATTTAATTCTATAATTCTAAATAAGGTAAATTTTAAATAAAAATATTAATCATTTTTAATTTTTAGCACAGCATCTTGCATGAAAAATTGGTTTTTGATAAGATTTTAAAATTTAAACTTATCATAATTTGTGACAAAAAAAAAAGGCAAATTTAAAATCTATATGTATCTTTTATTTCCCCTTCACAATGTATTTTACAGATTTATATATTACAATGTTAAATGATGTTCTGGAAACTGCCACTCATATAACACAATACATATATCACTTATAAAATGAACAATATGTCATAAAATCTACCGAGATTTAAATTGAATCCCAGAGATGATGGTGAGTAAAATTTACAGAACTATACATAACATTCTCAGAAATCACATGATGAAACTAATGTGAAAATAAGAAAGAGAACAAAAGTTAAAAAACAATACAAATAATAACTCATTCTTAAATCCTTGCCGTTAAATTGCTATATTGGCCAAATTACAGTTTAGACAACAAAGATTTTCTTGTTGGTGGCGTGTCTTGGCTCATACTGATTCATTGTTATCACCACTGTGCAAACGAGTTTTGCCACACACAAAAAGGGTTTAAAACATAGAAGGCAGTCTTTTTGATTTTAACTACGCTGACTAATAATCATTGTATCCTGTTTATTATGTGCTAACCAAGATCCTTCCAAAGGATTTTTATTAAAAAAAAAAGGGTATTGCTTACCTATATATTTCATTAGATATCAAATATTGTTTTTTATTTCTAGGAAGGAATACATATGTTATTTAAGATTGTTAGGACATTAAAATATGGATTTATTTAAAGGGCAACTTCTGCCCATCGATAAGTTCATTACAAAACTTATTTTAATCCAGCACTTTGTTTCTTAAATTCACTTTATTTATATATTTTTTTAATTCTGTATAATATAAAAACTTGTTCATTTTCGCATGTTTTTCTTAAATTTTGCATGAAAATCGAGAAAGATGCCATTTTTTATATCTTAAAATCCCTTTTCTTTTCTTAATATTCTGTATACTATTGTAATTCCTTCAGCTCAACATTTTTTGTTTCTTATAATTGTGTCATTTTTCTTAAAATTCTGTTCACATTCATAATTTTTTTTTTTTTTTTTTAGCAATTTTTCTTTTATAACTAATCATTATCTCTACTTGTGAATCTTAAGATAAGCAAGTTAGAAAAATAAGTACACTTTTTAACATTTATTTTTAATCATATGTTAAAATTTGTTATTTTTAACATAATTTTTTAAGTCTATAGTATCTATATTTAATAACTAAAAAATAAGTCTAAAAATATATAAAAATAATAATTCATTAATGTATGATACATATTTTTAGATTATTATTAATGTATTAAGCCTAGAATTTGTGTACTTCATAATGCATCCTGCTTTGGATATTATCTCAGTATTATTGTTAAGTAATGTATCAATCAATATTAAATTTATTTTGAGTGTTTAGATTGTAAACAGTCAGGGGTTTACAGTGCTGTCCCCCTTAAAGTTGTAAAATTATTAAATAATATTGTTAATGTGAATTAAAAAAAAATCTCTAAAAAAATTTTTATAACAGCATTTTCAGACTAAAGACCAAAAATTAACAAAAAAAATACGAGGGAAGTTTATTTTTCTTTCTTTTAAACCTTTCCACAGTTATTCTTCACCTACAATTCCCAGGAAAGCAAATGGGCGAAAGAATTCAGAAAGGGAAATAGAATTTGAAAAACATACAAAATATGAAGTTGGGGACAAGGATTGGAAAAGCCCATAGAAAAGTCAAAATCAGGGGGAAAAAAAAGCACCTGAAATTAAAGAACTCTTACAATAAGTATCATCCCACTAAGTATTCAATAATATATAATAAACAAATTAATTCATACATCTTTTGAGCATATAATGTGGCATTTTTCCCATTAAGAGATTGTCAACAAAAATGTTGACAATAATTTATTTGAGGTACTTTATGTTTGTTCGTTTTAAACAATCAAAATAATCTCTATGATTAAATCCCACACACATAGCAAACAACTATTCCTCAATTTTTCGTATGTACACCACTTTCCACCTAGTAACATAATAACTAGGCATGGTAAAGCCAATGTTTTCAAGATTGACATTCCACAATGCTAGGCCATCACCTTTGTGAATTTTATAAATCTCCTATTTTTATATGCTAACACAGTTCAAGCTATATTCTAGTACATGCTACATTAAAAATGTCTGTTCCCTAGCTCTTATATATGATGGCTATACTTGTGCTATTAATTTGTATTTAAGGGAGATTATTGCTTTAGAAGGAGGTAATTTTAGAAGGAGGTAAGTGTAAAGACGTTCACTTTATGTTTTATCCAAGCATTCTCACAAATATCTAAATTAATTTCAAATCTTGATTTACAACCTTAGAAAATATCTATGAGATGTAAACATTAATAGAATTTTTTTAATAATTTCATGTTAATTTCAATTTAATAATACTAGCCTTCAAATTTTGAGACATTACAATGGAAAACAATATTGACCCATTGGTATAATACATTGATACAAGTTTTAAAATATTTGTCATAGATTTTAAAATAAAAATTAAGACCAGTTGTCATCATATTCAGTAACACTTCAAAAACTTTTTTACATGCTAATAAAATTTTTACTATAAATTACTTCATCACTAAAAGTAATATATAAAATACAGTCATAATGGGAGAGTTACCTCTAAAAAATTAGCAAAACATTCTATATCTTTCTTTTAATCATCAATAACATATACTAAACTAATTATTTCAGTCATTGTTTTAATACATTGGTAACTATTTAAAAACATTTTGCAATGCCCTCAAAATAGTGCTTGCAAGTTTAACATCGATTAAAACAAATATCTGCACATATATTGACAAAAATTATGAAGATTTACTCTATTAAAATTTACATAGACTTTTACATGATTTAATAAACCTGGAAAATTCTGAACGAAGAAAAAGAAAATTATTCAAAAGATTGTCAAAAAGTACACATCACAAAATATCAAAATAAAAATACATACCAAGCATTGAGTAAGTTTTCCTGTTTACTGATTATTATCAGTTTTTATGAATATAAATATTTTGACAGCAAAATTATGCATTTAAGACGAATACTGTTTATTCCACATAAATAATTTTGATGAATATTGGATTTATGATTGCTAACTAGGCAGATTAAAGAACTACTTTTAAGTTTTATGACAGGTTGATTATGATACCATTATTATTTCAATGGTCCTAAAAAGAAATTTATTAAATACTTTCAATTGCGCACCCTTACATGATATTACTTCGTGACATATCTATTATATTTAATACTTCAATTACCTCTATATAAAGTTCTCATCATTTGGATAATTACATCCACCATATTTTTTCATAGATTAACAGGGTTATATACAAATTTGTTGTCTACTTATAAAGCGCAATTTTAAATTGCTCAGAATGGGTTAGATACATGCGGTGAATTATTTTTCCTCATTTGTATTATCACTAGTTAAAACTGAGATGAAATAAATAGATTTTTTTTCAAAATAATAATTCAATAACTTACTTGACTTAGAGATAATAAACACCATAACCAAATTTACAAAGACGTGATTAGAGTTCTGGGAATAGCTTGATGTTGCCAATTACAAGACAGTTTCTTTAAAAACTCAGGCACTTGTGGTCAATTAATTTATATATATATATATATATATAAATTGATACAACTCTATACAAATAATATACAAAAAAAATTTTCATTATATATATATATATATATGTTGTCATCATTGCTTTAAATTTATGTTACAAAAATAAGCCAAAAATTAAAAGTTTAAGTTTTCCATTAACTTTGATTCAACTGTATGTCTGTTTTTTAAATTACCTTAAAACATTTTGTCAAAAATTCCTCTTTAAGAATGTCATTTACATAAACTCGTTCTATTCGGAGTTCAATGTTAACCTAAGGGAATTTTCATATACTAACTAGAGCTTTATGGGGCCTGATAGCCGAGTGACTAGCGCACAGCACTGGTACCGTAGGTTTCGGGTTAGAGTCCCGGTGGGACCATGTATGTAATGGTTCAGAATCCACTTTAAACTGCAGGTCTCTGTTTAAGTAACACTCGTGAACAACAATTGAGCTCAGTGCGACAAACCAGGAAATTGGGTTTATGGTTTTTCTACATCGTAAAAAGAAAATACTCATAGAAATCTCAGTCAGAAAAAACCGACAATAGTATCAAGATGGGCCTGGCTGATGGAAGCTGACTGAGATAGCCTTAGTCGCGAATCGGCTGTAATGGAAAATAATTATAATTTTATTTTGGTAGATATTCAAATGCCACAATAAGATAAGTAAAAAATAATATATATCCTTGCTTTTACTTTCTTTCGAGGGCCTTTAAAGCATTTTTAAATATTCGGAAATTCCTAACTCAACTTTTAAAACGCTTATACAAATACTTAAGATTATTAAAGAAATAAAAGAAAAACACAGATTGATAGATAGATGTTAAGATATACTATATACTACATATTTCTTTTCTTTTATAATTTCAAATTAAATTTAATTTTTTCATTCTTGAATTCTAAAATAAATCTCTTCTGAGCTTTGCTCATTTCAATTATTTTATCGAGAATTTTTCTCAATTCTGTTAATTTGATAATTAGTAAATAAATTTAATAATGTATGAGGAGGTATAGGAATAAAATTTCATTAATTTTTCTTGGAATTTCAATTGTTTTACAGCACATTTACAGTTTTGAGTATAATTCACCAAATGTGGCCCTTATATGTATATATATATGGGGGAGGGTATGTAAATTACAGGACGTTGAAACAAATCGTAGAATAAAACTGCAAAAACTAAAAAGAAATTATTTTTATAACTAAATAGGAATCACATGAAAGTTTCTGTAAAGCGAAGGCTATTTTTATAGCTTTATTTGGGGCCTGATGGCCGAGTGGTTAGCTCTCTGGCTCTCGGTACCACAGGTATCGGATGCCCATGGATGTTTGTAGTGGTTCGGAATCCACTTTAAGCCGTAGGCACCGGTCTCCTATCTCTGTAAGAGCGTCACGGGGCCAAAGTCTGACTTCTACCTACGGGTGCTCCATCACAACAGAAGCTGCTTCCTTATCCTTCAATCATGAGTACGTATGGGCACATGGGCTTGGCCAGCCAAGTGGGATAAGAAACAACAAACAACAACATAGCTTTATTTTATATAGTGGTAATCTTGTTGGAACATCTGTTAATATTTATCTTTTCCTCATGTGTATTATACATATATGTGTGTGTGTTATATATATGTGTGTGTGTGTGTGTGTAAATTATTATATATATGTGGAGGGGTATAGCATCATAGAGGATTAAACGTTCAGGTACAACTACAAAACAACATATAATTACAACGCATACATACAAAATAATTACACAACAAATAGTTAACACATCAAAGAAACAGAAGTCATTGTCGTTGAAGGCTCAGCTCCTCGTTCACCACACCTATCCTCTACTTTGGGGTACCGAAGTAATGAAATTTTGTTAGGAACTCAAGCGCCTCTATTAATCAGGACTTGAAGTTTTGAGCTGAATGTTGCTGTCATTTAATAGAAAAGGAGGTGTCGAGTGCATGGCGTGTAACGCCACCACCTTCACAGTCGGCCATCCGACAGTAGGGCCGTCCTCGGTAACATTCGGAAAAGTAAATTGGCGTTGTCATGGTGTATCGCCATTAAGCAGCATAAATATTGCTGTCGTCATTTACGGGAAAATCTAAAAAAAGAAAGCAAAAGGGAAAATCTAAGTGAACAGGCTATTTATGTAGACTTCAAATAAGCGTCGTTAGTCGACCCTTTTATTGCCGTTGCCGTTCTTCTGCTTGCATCATTAAAAAAGATAGAAATAAAAAAAAAAGGGAAGAAATAAAATTGTCCAATTCATGACGAATAAGAGTCACAATGAAGTTTAGTATAAAGTCGCTGTCGGGTCGCTAAAAAATAAGTAAGGTACTGTTTGGGAAGTCATAGTCTAAGTTGTAACATCATCAAGCTTAGTTGCAGCTTCAAGAAAAGCTACAACAGTGATCGTCGTATTGCTGGTAGTTGTCGTCTAGCCTAAGATCTAAATTTTAAACTCTAAAGTGCGTAATTTTTGCACTATGATTCCAAAAAATCATCCACGCAACATATATGCTTTTTTCTGGTATTTATGATAGGAAGCCATTGAAATCCAACACAGCATTCTGACTGATTCTTCTGGAATTGTCAATTCCTTATACTAGTCATGGTATGTCATTCTTAATAGTGTCATATTTATCTTCAACCACGTACACACTGCAAACGGAAAACAAGCTTCGTTATATATATATATATATATGTCTGGATGTTTGGAGATATATGTTTTGGAGATATAAGAGTTCAAAAATTGACTTTCCTAATGTTAAATGAAACTTTCGCATAATGAACGATATATCGCGCTCTAATTAATATATTCCTTTTATTTTTTTAATCTTTCACCAAACAAAAGAATTTTTTTCTCAAAATTTAAAACAAAATTTTAATCAAATTTTTGTGAATATATTTTAAAAAAAAATAAATGTTAAATATATGAAAAGTGATGAATTATAACATACTAGCATTAGTATGCAGTTGGCTTTATAGAGTAGTCAACCTTAAAGATATATATATATTAAATTATGAAAGTTTACGAGATATACAAGAAAATGTGAATCGGGAACCAGTTTCCAAACAAAAAAAAATATATCTTTTTGAGATCTGTTTTTGTGCAAATGTATATACAGATGATCCTGGTGGTAGTTAGGAAAGCGTAGAGTTAGAAGGAAATAATTAAATTCGTTTGCCTTTAGTTTTTAATTTTTTTAATTAAATTTTTATGCATTAAACTAAATTTTTCTATTTTAAAAATATTTAGTATGCTTTTTGAAAAATAATTAGATTCAATATTTTTCTGAAACTAAATATCTTCATATTTTGATTTTATAAAATATTAATAAGTAAAATTTCAAAACATATATAAATATGCATATTTTAAGTCTTAAATATATTTTTAAATAGAAAAATTAATGAAACTATTGAGATTTTTTCTTCTGATAAAAGAAAAAAAGAATTATAACTTACTTAAATTTTTATGCAGGCTTGGCTTTCTTGTGTCGTCGATAGCTAAAGTGCGCCAAGTAACGGGTTGTGATTGTAAATGAAGTGAATTGCAAACAGTATAAGAAACATGGGTGACCACATTTTACGACTTATCGCCGAATTGGTGACACAAAAAGTCGCCAAATCACAATTGCCCCTATTTTGCGATTTGGCCAAGATTTTCTTTCACATTAGTATGAAAAGCTTACGAGATATTCAAGAAAATGCTAAATAGGGATACATTTTCAAATTAAAGAAAAATTATTACAGATTGATTTTTATGAAAAAGAGATAAAGCTGATAACGCACTCGTGAGTTCGGAAAGCCGACACTTAACAACAAGGAATTAATTTAATACGTTTGATTTAAATTTTTAATCATTTTAATATAACTTTTTAACTTGATTTTTTTTCATTTTGAAATATTATTTATTGTAATTTTTCAAAAATAAATTTAATTCTATATTTTACTGAGGTGAAAATTTGACTTCATGTAATCTTAAAAATAAAGCTTAAAAAACATAAATAAAATTTAATGCGCGTATTTTATGAATTAAATTTTTAAATAAAAATATTTTTTTTTCTTTAAATCAGAACTGTGTCAGTCTTTAATTTAATATAAAAGTTGAAGAATATACACTGAAGTGACAAAAGTCATGGGATAGCAATATGCAAATTTTCAGATGGCAGTAGCATCGCGTAGAACAGGTATAAATGCGCAGTGCTTTCGCAGAGCTTTCATTTCTGTTCAAGTTATTCATGTGAAGAGGTTTTGACGTGATGATGACCGCACGACGGGAATTAACAGACTTTGAACGCAGAATGTTAGTTGGAGCTAGACGCATGGGTCATGCCATTTCGGAAATCGTTAGGGAATTCAACATTCCCAGATCCACTGTGTCAAGAGTGTGCCGAGAGTATGAAATTTCAGGCATAACATCCCACCATGGACAGCGCAGTGGTCGACCGCCTGCACTTAACGACCGAGACCGGCGTTAGTCGCTGTTACGACTGTAGAGTCGTAAATTCTAACAGACAAGCAACACTGCGTCAAATAACCGCAGAAATCAATGTGGGACGTACAAGGGACTTGTCTGTTAGAACTGTGCGGAGAAATTTGGCTTTCTTGGGCTAATCCAGCAGAAGACCGACTCGAGTGCCTTTACTGACAGAACGACATCGCTTGCAGCGACTCTCGTGGGCACGTGAGCATATCGGTTGGTCCCTAGATGAATGGAAAACCGTGGCCTGGTCCGATGAGTCCCGATTTTAGTTGGTAAGAGCTGATGGTAGGGTTCGAGTGTGGCGCAGACCCCACGAAGCCATGGACCCAAATTGTCAGCAAGGCACTGTTCAAGCTGGTGGTGGCTCCGTAATGGTGTGGGCTGTTTTTTCATGGTATGGACTTGGTCCTCTGGTGCGACTGGACCGAACATTGACTGGAAATGCTTATGTTCAGCTACTTGGAGATCACTTGCAGCCATTCATGGACTTCATGTACCCAAACAACGATGGGATTTTTATGGATGACAATGCGCTATGTCACCGGGCCACAACTGTTCGCGATTGGTTTGAAGAACATTCTGGACAATTCCAACGAATGATCTGGCCACCTAGATCGCCCGACATGAATCCCATCGAGCATTTATGGGTCATCATCGAAAGGTCTGTTCGTGCCCAAAATCCTGCACCATCAACGCTTTCACAATTATGGACGTCTATCGAAACAGCATGGCTCAATATTCCTGCAGAAGACTTCCAACGACTTGTTGAGTCCATGCCACGTCGAGTTGCTGCACTTCGCCGGGCGAAAGGAGGGCCGACACGATATTAAGAGGTATCCCATGACTTTTGTCACTTCAGTGTATAAGAAAATAACAACATTTTAAGTTTTTTAATTATATTGTAAAAAAAAATATTTTTTTTGTTCTAATGCAGCTGGCAAACAGACAGCTTGATCTCGGATGCCTTAAGGCAAGCACTGCACAGATGTTACTCACTTTGCATTACCGAGGGGGCGCGTGTAACTTGAGGATAAGCCACGGACGCGGAGTAACAATGACCCCGTTACGCTATACGATCCTATTAGGACCAGGACCTGCGGTTTAAAGTGGATTTCGAACCACTACAAACATCCACGGCACCGCCGGGACTCGAACCCGAAACCTGTGGTACCGAGCTCTAGCCACTCGGCCATTCAGGCCCATATTGAAAAATATTAAAATGGTCTTTAAAACTGTTCAGCTGTTTTAAAAAGCTATATGTAGTATAATTTAGTTTTTTATAATATGCACATAAATGATTTTTTTTTTTATCATAATTTACAATATTTTCATCTTTTTCCCCCAACAATATGCATATTTATTTCAGTTTAAATAGATATAATCTACATTTTATTTATTAAGTTGAATTGAAAAAATGCATAAAGCTTTTTTTTTTTTTTTTTTTTTTTTTTTTTCAGGTTATAATTCCGAAAAATTGAAAAAAAAAAAAAAAAAAAGTCGATGAGTAACATATAATTTTGATACAATGGCATCTACACATTTTTTTTTCGCTGAACATCAGTGACCTTTTCATCTCACTTATGCGTATATAAACAGCTAATCTACGGATAACTATCAGGAAACATCACCTTCCTAAAAATCTTTCAAAGGAAACAGATACTCTTTTGCATGTTGTATAAAAGGAAACTTATAAAATCTCTCGTCAAGTAACCTGACTATTGATGTGAGATGTATATACAAGTTACCCCAAACGTCATCGAATCTCCTCGCTTATAAAAATCAGTTAAAGTAAGATTGTAATCGCGCTTCCTCCTAGACACCGGCAAGAGCGCCTCTGTGGCGTTCAGGAGAAATGGTAAGCCAGCCTCGAGACTCTCACCCG